CCAGGAAAAACTATGGATCGGTGACCTCGTGTTTCGGTCTTCTGCATATCATGAATCAGCAAGCTTTGTCAAATATATATATATATATATATGATAGCAGGAGGGGGGCTGTGAGCAGGAAGCCCGTGGCAGAACCACACGGGAGGATCGGGCGGGTAGACCCTGACAGGCGAGTCGGGAAGGCGGGCCAAAGCGGCCAGGTCGATCAGGCGGGTTGCTGAAACGTGCGCCCTCCATGAATCGCGAAACGATCTCAAGCGATAGGACGATTCCCAAGTAAATCGTCAGATAGGCCAAAGCGAGAGCGTGATTCCTGAATGTCGAGAGCACGGCGTCTGAAGACATTGCGAGGAAGTCCCACGCGAACGCGCGATCTCTGAATACATTGTGAGGAAGTCCCGCGCAAAAGCGCGATGTAGGAATACATTGTGAGAACGTATTAAGCGGGAGCCATGGCTGTTGCAAACCGAGGGACAGCGGCGCCATTTGGCGACGCCCATTCCCATACAAAAAAGCAATGTGCGAACCCAGGGTCAAGAACTCTAATGTAAGACATTGTCTTAGACATTAGAATGTCACAGCAACAACATCAATATCAGCCAGCGTTGACTCCAAACAGGTAGGAGAACAGGAGGAGGACGAGAGGAGGATGGGAGGACGAAAGGAGGACAAGAGGAAAACGGGAGGAGAACGGGAGGAACAAAATCAAGCAAGCGCAAGCAAGCAAGCGGAAACAAGCAAGCGCAAGCGAGCAATAACAAGCAAGCAAGAACCAACGATCAAGTGCAAGCAATCACGGGCAAGCAAGAGCAAGCAAGCGAAAGCAAGCACGCAAGAGCAAGCAAGCAATTGCTATTGGAAAAAGGAGGGTGCCATTGGAAAAGGGGGGGCTAAAGACCAACTGCTTATGATGAGCTAGGACTCCTATAGGGCAAGCCTAGTTGGAGAATCATGTGCATAATGGCCGTTCTGATCTGCTCGCGTGCCATTCAACACGTGTATCTCGAACCCTCGATACCCGCCCCTTTCGTCTTCGACAATACCCCCTCGGGGGCATGTCTGTCTTAACCGCAACGTGTAGTTCGTGCAGCCCCTGAGGCAGGGGAAGAGGGGCTTGATGGAAGGAAGTGACAAGGGAGAGGGAGGAGAGGAGCACGAGAGAGACTAGGAGGAGGGGGGCTAGCAGCAGAAAACACGTGGCAGAACCAGACTGGCAGATCGGGCAAGTAGAACCGAACAAGCGGGTCGGGAAGGAGGGCCCAGGCGGCCAGGTCGAGCAGGCGGGTTGCTGAAGCGTGAGTCCTACATGAATCGCGAAACGATCTCAAGCGATATAACGATTCCCAAGTAAATCGTCAGATAGGCCAAAGCGAGAGCGTGATTCCTTAATGTCGAGAGCGCGGCGTCTGAATCAATTGCGAGGAAGTCCCACGCGAGAGCGCGATCCCTGAATACATTGTGAGGAAGTCCCGCGCGAGAGCGCGATGTGGGAATACATTGAGGAAATATCAGGTGTGAGCCGTTGTTGTTGTAGTGCGGGGGCCAACAATGCCTTTGGAGGAGGACAACTTCCCTGATAAACAAACAGGGTGCGAGCCCCAGGAAGGGCACTTCAATTGTAAAACACATATGTTACAGGAGGGGGATCAGCAATAATTATTCTTCAGTAGCGAGAGTTCAACAATGATAACATCTGTCCGCACTGCAGAACATCACTTCAGCCACTCGCCCAGGGACAGTGAATGACCGTTCGGTCCCCTGACTCTGATACGAATTTAGGCGGAGACAAAAAGAAAGAGAAAGAGCGAGAGAGAGAGAGAGAGAGAAAGTGAAAGTGAGAGCGAGAATCAGAGAGTGACATTGAGAGAGTGAGGGTCAGAGTGCGAGCGAAAGACACAGCGAAAGAACGATAGAGAGAGAGAGAAGAAAAGATGGCGAAAGAGCCAGAAAACTGGAGGGAGCGCACGAGAGAGTGAGAATGTGACAGGGGGTAAGAGGAAGAGAACACGATGTTGGTACAGAGGGAGACATGCGCGCGGCGTTCGAAACAGGTGTGGCACGAGCCATATAAAATTCCCTTGGCTGCGTAGCCACACCACCGGCTAAGCTTCAGCAAATTCTTCATCAGCGGAAGGACTTGGGGCAGGCTACGGACATCCCCAATCGCGGCCTGATTTACTATGCAATACAAAATTCTGCCCTGACGCGCACAGCGCGAACACGCATAGCCCAAATGTGCATTGTGCACAACTTGCCACGAGCCGCGCCTATCGGCATTAGGACGCGCTCCAGATTCCCCCCGATGTGCGATCGACACGTTATCCATGCCCCTGCTCAAGTCCCAAACCCCACGAGAGACCATGGATAAAGGTCAGCACTCTGAAGCTAAGCTGTTCATCCAGGCCCTAGCACGTACAGCGATCCGCCCCGCTCTCCGGAGCGGCGCCTGCTGTGGGTGACGCCAACGCTGAAGAACGGACAACACACGCACACACCCATATCTATGGGGGGGCTGACCCGTGCCTCGCGGTCTGAGGCTGAGATATAGGCATGGGGTATGGGTGCGGGCTGTCAGACACCGCATGTGGGCCCCCGTTGGAGCGGGGACCCCCACCCGACAACACGCACCCATAGCCCTTCCAGAAGTCTACCCCGACACATCGGGGGGTAGTTGTCAGGAAGTGCCCCTTGTACCGCCGACGCCCGACGGGGCCCGCCGTGAGCCTCCCTCGCTTCCACGGCGAGGCACGAAGCCGCCACCGTGGCCGGAGGAGGGCCCCCGCACGCGCACCCAGGGCGTCCCCGAGCATCACTGGCTTCGGCGCCCGCTGAGACTAGCTCACTCTGCTGGTCGCCGAGGGAGATCAAGTCCGCTGCGCAGCCGGGCGTCTGCTCAAGCATAATCCCGCGCTGGCCCACAAGGTTCGGAGGAGGAGGACGACGACGAAGACGATGACGACGACGAGCCGGCGACGATTACGGCGACGATTACGGCGACAACGACGACGCCGACGATGATACGAGGACGAGGACGAGGACACGAGCACAGAGGGCGAACGACGAGGCGACAATGGAGTCGAAAGAAACGCAGTGCCCCTGCTCGCTGCGACCGTCGGCAATACCTCTTTCCTCCGAGTCCAGCGACAACGACCGGATGGCCCGTGAGACGAGGGGTGGTGGAGGAGGAGAAAGCAACGAACAAAGCTGGTCGTCCGTGACGTTACGTCCATCGTGCTACTAGTAGGAACGCTGCATCAGGAACGAAGGGGCTCTGCAGAGATTCCCCGACCCATATCGCGAGCACCAGAGCCCCTCCTGCGCTCAAAGTTGTCCTTTTTCGGCGTATTGACTCGTCCGTGTTTCGGCGTTTCGACTGTACCGCGGCTGAAAGCTCGCCACACTGCAGCGCGGCGCGATTTCCCTGACCCCGCTGCTCGCACCCGAAGCCAGAAGGCGGCATGGGGCCACCCCGACGTTGGTCCAGCTCGCGCAAACACCCGAGCATTCGGGCGAATGGGCTAAGAAGGAGTGCGGGATCGCGGGCTCCAGCTGAGGAATGGCAGTCGAGCATTTGTACCGAGCGCATCCGAGAGCCTCACTGAGGGCGCCAGGAATGCACTGCGGGGGCTATCGACGGCAGCCTCACCGATGATGTCGTTCGCAGGTGGGGACCGAAGGTCAGCGCCTAGTCGGCGCACGACGATGGCCCCAGCAGACACGGGAAGCGACCATCGCGAGGGGATGCCCCAAGACCTCCGCAGGCATATTCGCACGGCCTACTGCGGGATGGGGCGCCGTCAGAGGACCGTGCTATTCTAGCGCGTTTCCACGGCATGCTTGGTTCGGCGGCGTCACCAAGTGTGGACCCGATTGGAGACCACACATAAGCTGGAGCAGAAGAGGGATGATGATGAGGAAGAGGAGGAACGGAGAAGGAACAACAAAAACGCAAAGGAGGCCACGATGTGGCGACAGGGTGGTGACACCACGCCGAACATCGGCGCGTCGAGAGCCCGTCAAAGCTCCGGCGTGCATACGTGTTGCGGGTCCTGCTCGCGGAGGTCGCGGCGAGGCGCAGAACAACTGCCGCTCTCCGCCGTGCTGCGGCTGATGCACCTCGAGAGGAGCGCTGCGGCACCGTGAGGCGCGCCCAGGGCGCAGCTCAAGTGCGGCGTGCGCTGCGTCTGGATGCCAGTGCCCGAGAGCACGCTGCGCTCAAGCGAGGCAGGCGGCCCTGAAGCCTCTGACAGTTACGCGGCGTGCGCCAGGCGATCGCTCTCCACTTCCAGGGCGACCATGTTTATGATGCTGGTGGGACGTAGGATCGCAGCTCTGCTTGCAGAGAGGCGAGCATTGGCTGTTGAACGCCACCTCACGCCAAGCACCGTGCCCAGCCTGGATGGGGCCAAAGACGCCAGCGTCGGACGATCATCCAGGCCAAAGACAGGGGGGGGGAGGGAGCAAGTCAGGACGACGAAGAGGGAGCGCGCTAGGAGAAGGACGGGCAGGGGCAGAAGGACAGGATGGTAAGAGGAGTAGGTGGAGAGTAGCAGCAGCGGCGGCGGCAACGGCAGCAACAACAGGAGCAGAACGAAGGTGAGGACGCGGACGAGAATGAGACCCTTCAGCATCATCGTCATTATCATCATCAGCAGCAGCGTCAGCCTCATCATCATCATCAGCATCATCATCAGCAGCATCATCATCATACTCATCATCATCCTCATCCTCATCCTCATCATCAGCATCAGCATCATCATCACCACCATCATCAGCATGAGCGTCAGCATCATCATCATCATCATCGTCATCATCAGCAGCAGCATCATCTTCGGCAACAACAGCAGCAACAATAACAGCAACGTTATCGTCATCGCCATCGTCAGCGTCAACGCCAGCGTCATCCTCGTCATCCTCCTCCTCGTCCTCATCCTCCTCGTCCTCGTCCTCATCCTGATCCCCATTTGGGATCAGCAAATCGAGGCGGTCAGAGCCCGAGCCTCGTCGATGTTCTGCATGCACAGCGGGCACCGCTTGCTGCGGCCAAGCCACTGCGCGCCGGCCCGGATCCCAGCAGTATGGTGATGCTGCTTTTCTGCAGCCATCTGCCTTCCTTCTCCTTCGCCGCCACAGACTCATCTTCGTGGTCCTCCTCCTCATCCCCCCTCCTCATCCTCCTCATCCTCCCTACTCATCCGCTTCCTAACCATTATCCTCCATCTTTCCCTCATACATAGCTCTTCCTCGCTGCGCCACGAAACGTGTCAGTAAACGGTCTGGGCGCCTGAGTAATCCTCACAACTCATGATCGGCAAGCTTGAGCTCCGCAGCGACTGCACGGATGGGGGCTGGGTTTCCGAAGTGGGCTTTGCCCAAAGGCACTGTGGCCTCTGCGTTGGAAACGCCCGTGTGGGCCCCCACAGGCCGCTCGGGTTGCTCAGTGGGCGTTGTTTGCAGTCCGCACCTTGGATGGAGCCCTTTCTGTATTGATCTGAGGGGCGGCTTCGCAAAGTGAAGCACACTTCAAATATCAACGGTTCTCGAGTCTACGACGGGAAGGGGGAGAGGGGGGGGGAGGGGGCGAGCCCCTAGCGCGTACCCCAGCTAATCGAGACAGCCCCCGAAATCAGAGAAAGTCTGCCATAGGCGGGCGGGGGAGGGGGGAGGGGAGGGAGCCTCGCGCCGAACGTTAAAATGATTTACACATTGACGCTGTAGTGATCACTTCGCTCGGGGGCCCGATGCCACTGCCCTCGAAGGCCGCTGAAGGCGGTCGGACTCTCACGACCCCATCGCATCGCTGCGCGCTGGGCCGCCTGGCATCGCAGCGTGTTGCTTTGATGCGTTGTGGTCTGTTCCGCATTTGTTTGGCCTTGCGCTGTGCTGCTTGGCGCTGCATTGAACTGTATCACATTGAGTGGGCAGTGCAGTCCTTTGCACTGATTTCACTTGCATTGTAATTGCTTGTTGGTGCAGTGGTTTGCCGCGCATTGGATTGCATCCCAGAGCAGTCCTATACGTAGAGATTGCGTTGAGATGGTTCGCCGCGCACAGCGCTGCATTGCATAGCTGAACATCGTGCTGCAGAGCATTGTATTGATCTGGATTCAGTTGTTTTGAACTGCATGGATTATAATGCTGTGCATTGCAAAACATCACTTTGCATTGCGTTGACGTGCGCGTGCTTCCGGCTATTCACACTGATCGTATGTGTGAAGCTTGCGCTGGCAGTGCTTGCGCGTTGCAATGCGATTACAATGCAATGTAGCGTCACGGACTGTACTTCAAATCTAATCCAGTAACGGCATTCCAATTCAAGCCCCATAATCTAACCAAGGCGCAGCATGCCAAGTCAAGGCACAACATGCCGATCAAATCAAGTCAGCTCAAGTCAAGGCACATAGTCTAAACAAGGCGAAGCAAATCACAGCAGAATGACGTAAACAAAGAAATTCAACACGCATCCAAGAAACAACTAGCAAAGCTCAGCATAGCAATACACAACAAGACATACGAGTGAAGAAACACCATGTCAAACGACATCATGCAATGCAATGCGCAATGCGGCTGCCACGACCCGCAACTGCAATGCGCTGTTACGTAAGAATAAGCAAAGCAAACTCAGACAAGGCCAATCAAACACAAATAGTACCACGACGTCGTAACCCGTTAAAGCGAGCTTCACTTGACGTGATTGGTTGAGCTTGGGCGCGGCCTGGGGAGCTGGCCCAGGGGGGAGGTCCCCCATAGCTGTCTCCAAACTTTGGACGTCCTCGGTCCGGATCTCCACCGACTCCTGCTCCTCACAAGCATTAGCACCCTCGTCATCACGGGTTCCAATAATCGTCTCCTACACCAGATCGCTCCTGGGACTGAAAGAAGCGAGCCGTACTTCGTGAGAAATGAAGCGCCCACCCCCTCGCCAGACCATGTACTTTTACATGCATCTAACGCCCTGCTGTCCACACCCGCCCCGCGCGCAATTATCATGCTTCACCGCTCCTGCCACGGCCAAGCATGCCGAATGACTCCGTCCTGTCCTATCCTGTCCCCTCCCATGCGCGCCTCGATACGGTGCACAACCTGCTGCTGCGTCGTCAAAGTCTGGTATTGGTTGGAGGGCGGCATGTCCCATGGAGATAGAGCCACGGACGACGTACGACACGCCCAGCAACAGTCTTGGGAAGAACTGCGTAAGCAGCGACGCCGTGTCACGTCTCGTTTAAGCGCAAATGCCAAAGACTGCAATCCTCCTGCCTGCTGCAACACGGCCGAGGCAAACGGCATCTGGCACCTGGTCGCAGCAGTCCACGTGGAACATGTGGTTGCATGGAAGCTTCCTGGAAAAGAGACAATGAACGGGGCAACCGAGTACAAGAGTAGACCCACGAGACAGGAGCCATCCGCAAAGATACTCCAATATCACCTCTTCGATCTTCACGCCTGGAGACCATGGAACTGACCATTGCGGAAGCTCCCTGGACATTACCCTGGCGACGTACCCAACCCCTGCGCAAACGCGGGGCGCAAATAGTTTAGGACACTTTATAAAGGGGCGATGACGGAGCGAGGGATACACATGTCTGCAGACGGAATTCGGGAGACTCGCAGGACACTGGCTACAGGACAAGGACTATATAAAGCTGATTAGTTACAATCCCTGAGCAACCCTAGGCACTTCGAAAGCGGGGATCTCAGATCGCAGCCCCCCAGGGATGGCGGGGTCTAATTTGGGTCCGCGCGTGGCGTCACTGTGCTGGGCCCCCCCCGCAGGCCTCGAATGTGGCGACAGTTTCACAGATCGCAGCCCCCCAGGGATGGCGAGGTCTAACTTGGGTCCGCGCGTGGCGTCACTGTGCTGGGCCCCCCAGCAGGCCTCGAACGTGGCGACAGTTTCACAGATCGCAGCCCCCAGGGACGGCGAGGTCTAATTTGGGTCCGCGCGTGGCGTCACTGTGCTGGGTTTCCCAGCAGGCCTCGAAAGTGGCGACAGTTTCACAGATCGCAGCCCCCCAGGGATGGCGAGGTCTAATTGAGGTCCGCGCGTGGCGTCACTGTGCTGGGCCCCCCCGCAGGCCTCGAATGTGGCGACAGTTTCACAGATCGCAGCCCCCCCCCAGGATAGCGAGGTCTAATTTGAGTCTGCCCGTGGCGTCACTGTGCTGGGCCCCCCAGCAGGCCTCGAAAGTGGCGACAGTTTCACAGATCGCAGCCCCCCAGGGATGGCGAGGTCTGATTTGAGTCTGCCGTGGCGTCACTGTGCTGGGCCCCCCCCGCAGGCCTCGAATGTGGCGACAGTTTCACAGATCGCAGCCCCCCAAGGATGGCGAGGTCTAATTTGAGTCTGCCCGTGGCGTCACTGTGCTGGGCCCCCCAGCAGGCCTCGAAAGTGGCGACAGTTTCACAGATCGCAGCCCCCCCAGGAATGGCGAGGTTTAATCTGAGTCTGCCCGTGGCATCACTATGCTGGGCCCCCCAGCAGGCCTCGAAAGTGGCGACAGTTTCACAGATCGCAGCCCCCCAGGGATGGCGAGGTCTAATTTGAGTCTGCCCGTGGCGTCACTGTGCTGGGCCCCCCAGCAGGCCTCGAAAGTGGCGACAGTTTCACAGATCGCAGCCCCCCGCAGGCAAGACAGGAGGAGGCAAGAGGGAGGCGGGACGGGAAGGAGGAAGTGGATACCACACTGCTCTATTCAAAACGAATACCCAACCAAGGAGGGTTGGGAAAAAGACGATGGGATGGGACGAGCGAATACAATATTACACCCATGAGACAAGAGCTGACCATGACGACACTCTTCATGGTCTCAAAGGCGTAAAATTATCCCATGCACCCAGGATGCGTGATACCACAAACATGGCAACTCTGCGCGAACTATTCGAAGAGATGATGAACGGAACAACCGAACTTTTCCTTCCAAATCTCGAGCTGGACGCTAGAGATGTCCAAGATGTCTCTCGTCAGCTGCAACATTCTGGGAATGAAGCTCGCTGACTCCAGAGGAACGGATTCGAGCACACCCAACAGTCCGGCGACCAAACCGACAAATGAGTCAAAGGTGACTGGGGTGAGCGGACCGTTTTGGGACGTGGGTCGTTCCTCGAGGATGTCTCGAATGCATGGGGCCTCCAAAAATCCCAAGGCAGGCCGAAGAGATCTCCATTTCCATCGGGCAATTTGTCTCAAAACCGTCTCTGGAACACTGGGAGAGAAACGGAAGGGCCCTCGCCAATCAAGCCAGAGTCCACGGACCAAGCACGGGCACTGGCCCTGGTCCCTCAACTTGGGAGTGGCGCTCATGACAAGCCGAGAGCGTGCCAACCGCAGGTGGTGCGGGAGCGGGGGAACCAGATGGCGCCCTCGAAGAGAGCCGCCTCTGAGCCTCTGAGCGCTGAGCGCACCAAGGAGCTGCAAACGTTCTTGCGCTAGCACAAGAGATCCCCACGCCCATCCTGAGCCAAGGCTCCGTAGGCCCTCCTGGCCGCAGCCAGGAGCTCATATGACGGAGCCATGGCCGAAGATGGGCCTGTCCAGGACTGGCGTCAGCGTTTTCTCGGTAATCCCTGAAGTCTCCGCAAGGCTCGGACCGAGGTCGGAAGGTTCCGGGAGCAGTTTTGACAGACACGGGTGCGTTCGAGGCTAGCTTGCATCCAGGGGCAGACTAGATCACATGGGAGATCAAACCTGGTGCTTCCGAGTGCGCGGCATCCGCTGGCAAAGGCATGCAGTAACAGATCGACCGCAAGAACGACGAGAGCCCTGAATGGTAATGGCGACTTGCAGAGCGCACCAGCTCTGTCCAGACATTCACATTCACCAAACATCGGCGTCGAGCCACGGGGGGGAAGTGAGAGCCCTCTCAAAAAGTGGCTGGACTTCTCAAAGCCCTCCAGCCTCCTGAGATATTCCTGTGTCTTCGGGGAAAGCTGAGAAAACTTCTCCGAGGGCCAAGGGACTTCCGAGCTTTCTGAGAAGGCCCGCCCCCTCCCACTTCCCCCCTGGACTCGCCGCCGAAATTACATACACCAAACCGTCACCCAGAAGCCAAGCAGAAATCCAGGTCGGAACGCGGAGAAGCGAAGGCTCGGAGTAGCGAAGAGCGCGCGCGCGGCACGCCAGACTGATCCCCAAGGACGAGACGCTCGAGCACCCTGGGCGTGCCAGATGCACCCACGCGTCTGTCAGAGCCGAAGCAGCCATCCGCAAGACAATGCAGATACCCCAAACCCGACTGTCTTGAGAGGGTTCGACCGCTCCAGCACCGACAGGTCGCCAGCGAAAATGACTACCTACACACTCGGCCGCGCCCGGTAGCTTTTATGGAGAGGCGCAGTGGAGACTCCCAACAGCTGCATCGGCACCAACTTTCAGAAGTCCGCGCGGACCTCCAACATTTTGTGCTTATGCCGTTTCGTAGCACTCCGCCAGCGCGCGCAGGGGCAGCACAGTTATGAGCAAAGTCCTGGAGGCCCCGCGCGGCAACTCAAGACCAAATTTGCGTCGGATCCGCGAGAGGTGCTTGCCGTCAGGTGGGGGGGGGAGCATCCCGATCGCCACAGTACGAGAGCCGATGGACAACACAACACAACACAACACAGGCCAACTCAACAACCACACACACATGTTCCTCCCGGAGCGAGGTGGCAGCATCGTCGAGAGATTCTAGGAGGCCTCTTTTCGGACTGCAAGCTAAAAAAATAACCCAGGATTGGATGACATACATACCTCAACAGATGGGGTGGACAGGACAGCGCGTGGCTGTCGCGTACAAAAAAACATCGCTAGGCTAGCGGGTGTACAAACGATTTAAGCCGCGCGTGGAGAACGTGCAAGGGACGGAACATCAAGGAGGACAGAGGTGCGAACAGCCGCCAAAGAGACACACAGGTGTATTTACACACATATGTATATGTTTGCCTGTTTTAATATGCAGAAATACGCACACGCACGCGAAACATTAACTAACAACAACAATAACAACAAGAGCAACAACAACAGCAACAACAACAACAACAACAATAATTGTAACACTTTTTGCTCTCATCCGCTCGCGTGTCATTCAACACGTATATCCCGAATCATCGGTACACGTCCTTTTCGTCTTCGATCGTAGCCCCGTTGGGCGCATATCCTTCTGACGTGGCATGCGGACGTTGCGCAGCCTCTAAAACGGAGGAAGAGAGGACGGATGGAAGGAAGGGACAAGGGGGAGCGAGCAGGATGGAACGCGAGGGATATTAGCAGAAGGGGGGCTAGGAGCAGAAAACACGTGGCAGAACCAGACGGGAAGATCGGGCGGGTAGACCCTACTGGGCGGGTCGGGAAGGCGGGCCGAAGTGACCAGCGCGAGTCCTGCATGAATCGCGAGGACGCCTCGAGCGATAGCGCGATTCCCAAGTACATCGCGAGAAAGGCCAGAGCGAGAGCGTGATTCCTGAGTGTCGAGGGCGCGGCGTCTGAATGAAAACGCGATTCCTGCATAGATTGGAAGAAAATGCCGCACGAGAGCGCGACGTTGGAAGTGAGGAATATCAGGCGGGAGCCGCTGTTGTTGTAATTCTGGGGCCTGGGGCCCAGTCAGAGGCGCAAGATTTCCCCTTATAAAAACTGGGGAACGCCCTGGAGAAACACTTTAATGCACCGGGCAGGGGGAATGACAATTTAACAATCATTTTAACACTGTTCGCTCTCATCCGCTCGCGTGTCATTCAACACGTATATTCCGAACCCTCGGTATCCGTCCTTTTCGTCTTCGATCGTGGCCCCGTTGGGCGTATATCCTTCTTACATGCCACGCGGATTTTGCGCAGCCTCTAAAACAGAGGAATAGAGGACGGATGGAAGGACGGGAAAAGAGTGAGGGAGAAGGCTGGAGCACGAGCAGGACGAGAGCTAGGAGCAGAAAACACGCTGCAGAACCAGACGGGCAACTCGGGCGGCTAGAGCCTACCGGGACCAGGCGGGTTGCTGAAGCGTAAGCCCTGCATGAATTGCGAAGAAGCCTCGAGCGATAGCGCGATTCGATTCCCGAGTAAATCGTAAGAAAGGCCAACGCGAGATTATGACTCCTTAATGTAGAGGGCGCGGCGTCTGAATAACACGAAAACGCGGTTCCAGCATAAATTGCAACACCATTCCGCACGAGAACACGATTTTTGAATACACGGTGACGAAGTATCAAGCGGAGCGGGAGCCGCTGCTGTAAATTCGGGGGCCAGCAGCCCAGTCAGAGGCGCAAAACTCTCTTTTGCAAAATTCGGTGCGAGCCCTGACAGAAACACTCGAATTTACAGCACAGCACAATGGGCACCGGAAGGGGA